TGATAGTGAGAGGCCCGCGCACCACGATGAAGAGTGGCCCCCGCTCGCCACAACTAGAGAAAGCCCTCACACAGAAATGAAGACCCAACACAGTAAAAATAAATTAATTAATAAACTCTTACCCCCAACATCTTCCTTAAAAAAAAAAAAAAAAAAAAAGTGAACTGTTGTCACCACTTCTGGAATGACAGACTAAGAATCTCTGAAACCTACTACTCCATAAAAGGCATGAGAGAACACTGGCAAAAACAGTGAAAATCAACTTTTTCAGAATTCTGGAAATTAAAGCCTTACAACAATTCAAAGAGAATTTACTCATGAAAAACAGCTTCACCTGGGTAAAATGCCTCGTGACAATGACTTGCCCTAATCTCATTCTCCTCTCCCCAGCTCCACAGCAGCCTTGAAAATCAAGAGCCCCAAAATGACAACTGAAAACCAGGACCCATAATCCCCCGGACCAGGTAGAAGAGATGGGGAGCTCCTCAAAAGCCGAATCCACTCCTCCCTAAATTGTCTTTGGTTTGTATGACAGTTCACACTACATTCTCAGGGCCTGTCTTCAGCTGACCAGACTCAAAAGCAATAAGCACATCCAGCATCCAGATCTTGGATTGTAACTACTACAGATTTTCCTCAACTTACGACGGGGTTCCATCTCAATAAACCCACTGTAAGTTGAAAATATCATAAAAAATGCATTTAATACACCTAACCTACTGAACATCATAGCTTAGCCTAGTTTACCTGAAATGTCTCAGAACATTTACATTAGCCTATAGTTAGTTGGACAAAATCATCTAACATAAAGCCTCATCTATAATCAAGTGTTGACTATCTCATGTAATGTACTGAATACTGTACTGAAAAACAGGAGGTTGTCTGGGTACAGAATGGTCGTTAAGTTCTTGGTTGTTTACTCTCATGTTGCAGGGCTGCCCATCATGACAGCGCGTTCTACCACATACCACTAACCCAGGGAAAAGATCGTAACTCAAAAACCCAAGCATGCTTTCTACTGAGTGCACATCACTTTCACACCATCGTGTGTGAAAATCACTAAGTGGAACCATTTTAAGTTGGGGACTGTCTTCTCAATTAAAAGGAACCTGGGCTCCTTAGAGAAATGGCCCATTCAAGGGCCGAGGTAGGAACATAAAAACAAGCCTGGAGCACCTCTTTCAAGTTCTTAAAGCTGTCGGCAGGATTCAGTAATTTGTGGTTTTAAGACTGAGGCTCCCGTTTCTTCCCTGTCGTTCTGGATACAGTTCTGGATACACGGCCCTCTGGAAACAGGGCAGCTTACTTCAAGGTGAGTAGGGGAATCTGATGCTTCTCATCTTTGACTTCAGGAAGAGCCCAGTCTCTTCTAAGGATTCATCTGATTAGTCAGGCTCCACCTGGGATCATTAACTCAGAATGATTAACTCAGAATCAACTGATTTGAGATCTTAGTTACACCAAAGGTAAAAACCACTTTATCTTTGGTATATAATGTAAGTTAACCATGGGAGTGAAGTCCATCCTATTCACAGCAATGCTCACACTCAGCAGCTTATACAGGCTGTGTTCACTGGGGACGAGGAATCTCGGGAGCCACCTTAGAATTCTACCTCCCACAAAGGGGGTGGGAAAAAGGGAGGATACAGGAAATCACTCGTTTTCATTAAAAACCTTTTTATGTTTTCATAATTCATTAATCCAAAATAAATCCCATAACACATTTTATTTCACAGTAAATTTTTCCCTATATACATATGTAATTTCATTTAAAAATTACATTCAACCAAATCTAAATGTCAGTAACTTAATAAGAGCCACCATTTTTAATGTACCAATAAGAAAAAATAACCTGCCAATGAAAATATGATATTCTATCAACTGTAAAGTACATCCCAATTTCAGAGATGTCGACCACAAGAATAAATACACTTGTTTCTTACTGTGTGCTGCCTGCAGGAGCCCAGACAGTGAATACAGCCTCCGGTGAAGAGGGCAGTGAGTGGAGACCCACAGCCTTCGGATGGACAGAAGTAGATTATCCTTGGCTCACATGTATTAGCCTGCCTTTGGCTGCAAGTAATATAAAGCCCAAATCAAAATGGCTTAAACAGTAAGGAGAATATATGATTTCATGTGCCATAACATGAAATCTGAAGGTTGGCTATCTCCTCTCTAAGAGAGGTGAATTCCATGGTTCAGTCGTTGTCACAGACCCAGCTTCTTCCCATCTCTTTCCTCTGTCATCTTCAGCTGCTTAGCTGGCTCCCCTTGAGGTCCCTAAGACAGCTGCATCAGTTCTGGGAGTCTATTTAGACATGGCAACGTCTAACCTCTTCCCGTCTATCTCAAGAGACGTTAGCTTTTCCAGAAGCACACCAGAGGACATGAATTTGTATTTAAAGCTCAAACCGGGGCTTCCCTAGTGGCGCAGTGGTTAAGACTCTGCCTGCCAAAGCCGGGAACACGGGTTCGAGCCCTGGTCCGGGAAGATCCCACATGCCGCGGAGCAACAAAGCCCGTGAGCCACAACTACTGAGCCTGCGCTCTGGAGCCCGCACACGATAACGAGAAGCCCACGCGCTGCAACGAAGAGTAGTACCCACTCACCACAATTAGAGAAAAAGCCCGGGCACAGCAACGAAGACCCAATACAGCCAAAAAACAAACAAACAAACAAAAAAACAACAAATAAAGCTTAAACCAATTACTGGCAAGAATGGCACTTCCATTAGCTGTTGAGACCAGTGGTTTTCAATGGCCGTATGTAGAATCATCTGGAAACTACTGAAAAATCTCATGTCCACATCCCAGGCTTCCCCCCAAACTCCCCAAAATCACAATTTCTGGGAGTGGGCCCCAGGCATCAGTATTTTTTTAACCCCTCAATGGTTATGTTTATTAAAACTAGTCAGTGAACTGAGGTACCTGGGCTAGAAGTCAGGAATCCTATTAAGACAGGGAGCAGGTCATTCAATACCTCTGCGCCTGAATTCCTGACAGTCTACAACTAGATCAAGTTAACACACTGGAAGACTACATACTTGACTTATATTCTCTTACCAAATGACAAAAATTGAGTTTTGCTGTCACGTGGCTTTCAGTAACTGACTATAAAAAAGTTATATGAAATCTGTCACAAAGAATCTTAGAAATAAGAATTCTCTCCATTCTACTCAGTGATTTCCATAATGAAGACCTACATAAGAACCATTTTTATGAATTATTATTAGAAGAGTTAGGCTTTGCACCCTCCCTCTTTTCTGAAAATGAGAGGTAAATAGATAACCACTTCATCCTTTTTGTTTTGGCTCCAAAAAAGATCAGAGATAGGGCTTCCCTGGTGGTCCAGTGGTTAAGACTCCATGTCCCCACTGCAGGGAGCATGGGTTCAATCCCTGGTCGGGGATCCTGCATGCCACGCAGTGCAGCCAAAAGAATTTTTAAAAAGATCAGAGATAAATTTAATACAGCCCTGATAACCAGGCTAACCAACTGACATGCAAATCCACGCACAGCTTTCCCCATTACAACTTTCTTGCTTATGCTTCCTCTGGTTCAGATTTTTTTTTACCTATTGTATTATTACACTCATACTTGCTTGGAGCTGCATCAAGGATGAGTGAGATTTATTTCGTAAGAGGAAACCCAAGGGAGCAGAGAGGAGCAGAGGCCAATGGGCACTAAAGCCTCGTATGGCCAAGATGGCCAGACTTCAGAGCACTTACAACCAGGCGGACAAACAGACCCTGATTCAAGGTACAACACAGTGGAGGCATGACTGAAGCAGTACATTGGGAAATCTGCTCTGAGGAAAAGCTCTCTTTAGAGAATTGTAGAGAAGAAAGTGGAAATTGGAGGCTGGAGTCCAGTTAGAAAGGGCTGTAATAACCCACAGACTAGAGACCCACAGCCTGATGGCTGCTTTAGGTGCACAGGGCACATCTGAAGGAAAACGTCTCCCCCTCAACTTGATTTAACACAAGTTAAGAGATCTCACTGACACAGCAATGTTTGCCTCTTCAAAATAATGAGAGTTGTAGCTATTTAAACTTCTCTGATTCTCACTCCCTCAAATCTCTGCTTGGTCTTTTAAGTTTACAGGTGAGATGGGTACTGCCTCTTGGAATATAAGAATTACTTTTTTCTTATACATAAACTTTATGTCAGCCAATGTTAGCTTATGTACAGATTGGCCATAACATGTACCTTCAACAATTGTGCCCTATGACAAGATCCTGAATTCCTTTACACTGTATGTGATCTTTAAAGAAGATATGAGGTATCAATTCTACAGGTAATGTAACCACTTCCTTGCGCAATTTCATTAAATTATTGAAGCTTCTTGTAATGAACCCTCTTAAAGCATCAATGCAGCCCCTCTCCCCTGTGACTTCCTCTGGACGATTCTAGTGCATTATCTTTCCCTCCTTTCTATCACAGCCATGGAGTGAACGTGGAAGACTGCAATGGGTGCTGAGAGATGACTCACTCTCAGCTCACATACTGCTGATGCTAAGGGCCCAGGATCCATCATTGTTTCTTACTTTCCCAGGTCTTGTCTGATATACCTTTGCTGGAGTATAAGCAATTCCCTTTCTTGCTTTTGTGGGATTAGGTTACAACCAAAATAATCCTGACTCATATTTTCAGAAAAGACTTTGATAAGAAGCGTCACTAACTTTGGTGGACTCTAATGTATACAGCAAGTTAGTGATGCTATTATTTTTCCCAGCAATAAAACAATATTATAATAATAGTTTCAATTTCACTTTTCTAATAATAATCAGTACCACTATGTAAAAGTACATATTTAGGATCTTATTATTCATGCTTGGAAAATTCTGTATTGGAATATTATATTAAAAATATCACCACACTCCTAAAATTTATGTTCTACAAGTGTATAATCTGACTACAGTTTATGAACCAATGAGAAAGATAACCATTCTTATATTTTAACAACAAAAAATTTAAGAACTCCAGGTTTAGGAATGGTATAGCAAGAGACACTGCTCCGTTTTATTTATAACAGTAGGAAATCGGAAACAACTTTTTTGTTCACCAATAGGAAACTGGTTTTAAAAAATCACAGAACCATAATTTAAGCCATTAAACAGAACTGCGAGCAAACAATAAAAATATGTTGTGAATGTATTTAATGACATGAAAAGATCTAGCTGTATATTCATTGTCTATTATCCCAATGTCTTCCTAGTGGAACACAGTAGTTTTCTCTCTTCCATCCTCACTCAGCCTAACCTTCTTCCTGTTTTATTGAGAAAACGCAATCAATCAGAAGAGACTTCTGCAAAATCTACTACCACAACATTTACCCACCAGCCAGCATCTCTGTCACATATGCTCCTCCCCTGTTTCAATGGCTGGAACCATCTTGGTGAAGACCAACCCTTCACTTAGACACTACATTCATCCCTCAGCGCCACCCACTGAAGAGCTGCACATCATTGTAATGACACAAGAGGGCGCTTTAAATGAGGAATCTTGTAAACCACTCCAAATCAAGTGTTGAATAGTCTTGAACAGGCAGACACAAGCACTCTTCATCCATACAAAGCTACAGAAGAAAAGAGAAAACAAAAACACATGAGCTGGTAAAAATCACCAACTTAGCTACCAACTCCACCAAAAACGACATGCACAGAAGAAAACTAACACAAAAATCCAAGCTGAATTAAATATCCCAGTTTAGGTATATGAAAAAAAACAAACAAACTTGAATTGCAATTCAAAAACTAAGTCCAAAACTGAACACAAAAAATGGAAGTAGCCATAAATAAAGAATGAAATTGAGTTATTTGTAGTGAGGTGGATGGACCTAGGGTCTGTGGAAGTCAGAAAGAGAAAAACAAATACCGTACGCTAACACATATATATGGAATCTAAAAGAAAAAAAGGTTCTGAAGAACCTAGGGTCAGGACAGGAATAAAGACGCAGACATACATAGAGAATGGACCTGAGGACATGGGGAGGGGGAAGGGTAAGCTAGGATGAAGTGAGAGACTGGCAGGGACATATATACACTACCAAATATAAAATAACTAGCTAGTGGGAAGCAGCCACATAGCACAGGGAGATCTGTTCCATGCTTTGTGACCACATAGAGGGGCAGGATAGGGAGGATGGGAGGGAGATGCAAGAGGGAGGAGATATGGGGATATATGTACATGTATAGCTGATTCACTTTGTTATAAAACAGAAACTAACATACCATTGTAAAGCAATTATACTCCAATAAAGATTTTTTTAAAAGTAAGGAAACAAGAGTTGACTGACCCCAGAAATGACAGAAGAAATAGTAATCACATCAAAAATGAAGACTATAATACAGACCAGATTTGAATGGAAACTTAATAAGGGTAATTGGACAAAAGTGGAAGAAGAAAAAGAATAAAAATTAGATGAAGAAAGTAAAAGAAAGAGCAAAAAAAAAGAAAAACCATCACAGAGATAACATAATATACATAGTAACTATAAATCAAACATTCTGTCATTTCAATAAATGTGAACGGATTAATTCACTTACCAAAAGAAAAAAATGGATTTCTGGTTTGGCTCACAGAGCAAAACCCAACTATATACACTATTAAAGAAACAAACCTAAACTGACTCAGAAAAGCTAAAAGTAAAATGATGGGCCAATGAATATTAAAAGCAAACGCAAACAAATCTCTGGCTGCAATGTAGAATCTGAAACCACAACAAGAAATTTTCTGTACTGTTACATTAAAATCTATTAATCTACATTGTAGGTTCGATGTATATTTTACACAGGCATATTTTACAATATCATGCATTATTTGGAAAATATTACCTTACTAATTTATGCAGATCTTTCGAGTGCTTCATTCTATAGCATTTTAAGAATCACATTCTTTAATATCATCACCAACCAATCTTACCAAAAAGTCTTTAAGTACAGGAAAGCTTTCAAGCTCACAGAGGCAGATCAAATGTTCCAAAACTGTAATTTTTGCTCAAAAGCCAGAAGTTTATCATCAATAACATATACTTTCAGTTGTTTTTCTTGAAGTGACAGGGTCACTCCATTCATTTGTGAAAATCTACTTGCCAAACATCCACATCTGAAAAAACCAGTTTGCCCCTGAGTTTTTTTTTTCTTTTTCTTTTTTTGGTTGTGTTGGGTCTTCGTTGCTGTGCACAGGCTTTCTCTAGTTCTGTTAAGCAGGGGCCACTCTTCGCTGTGGTGCACGGGCTTCTCATTCCAATGGCTTCTCTTGTTGCAGAGCACAGGCTCCAGGTGTGTGGGCTCAGCAGTTGTGCCTCGTGGGCTCTAGAGAGCAGGCTCAGTAGTTGTGGCACACGGGCTTAGCTGCTCCACAGCATGTGGGATCTTTCCAGACCAGGGATCAAACCCGTGTCCCCTGCACTGGCAGGCAGACTCCTAACCACTGTACCACCAGGGTAGTAGTCCCTGCCTCTGAGTTATTCTTTCAAGTAAAAGAGTATTCATGAAAAGGTGTTCAACATCACTAACTAGGGAAATGCAAATCAAAACTACAATGAGATAACCACCTTTTATACCCATTAGGTAGGCTACTGTCAAAACAACTGAAAATAACAAGTGTTGATGAGAATGGGAGAAATTGGAACCCTGTGTACTGTTGGTGGAAATGTAAAAATGGTACAGCCTCTTGGGAAACAGTATGGTGGTTCCTCAAAAATTCAAAATAGAATTATTACATGATCCAGCAATTCTGCTTCTGGGTATATAGTCAGAATTGAAAGCAAGGTTTCAAAAAGATATCTGCACATCCATGGTCACAGTAGCGTTATTCACAATAGTTAAAACATGGAAGCAACCCAAGTAACCACTGACAGACGAGTGGTTAAGCAAAATGTGGTAGATACATACAATGGAATTTTTTTTTTTTTAAAATTTTTTGGCTGCACCGTGCAGCATGTGGGATCTCAGTTCCCTGACCAGGAATCGAATCCGCACCCCCTGCATTGGGAGTGCAGAGTCTTAACCACTGGACCGCCAGGGAAGTCCCAATACAATGGAATATTATTCAGCCTTAAAAAGGACTGAAATTCCAACATATGCTACAATATGGATGAACCTTGAAGATACAGGTTAAGTGAAATAAGTCAGTCACGAAAAGATAAATACTGTATGATGCCACTTACAAGAGGTACCTTGAGTGGTCAAAAATCATAAAGACAGAAAGTAGAATGGTGATTGCCAAGGGCCTGGGGAAGGGTGAAATGGGGAGTTCTTCTTTAATGAGTATGAAGTTACAGTTTTGCAAGATGCATGGTGGCGATGGTTGCACAACAATATGCCTGTACTCAAATACCAGTGAATCATACACTTAAAAATGGTTACAGTGGTAAATATGTGTATTTTACCACAATTTAAAAAAAAAAAGCATCCATCCATTCCTAGCTTCTCAAGTATTTATTTTCAAATAAGGAACAAGTGTTGAATTTTGGAGGAAGTCTTTTCAGCATCTACAGAAATAATCATGAAATGAAGGACTTCCATTTTGCTGTTTTTCCATGATAATCCTTGTAAAACTAAATGACTTTTAAAACTATCTAAATATACTACCTTGATAAAAAATATTTAATGAAACAAACTTCTAGGATATAAATCAAATAGTACATTGAGAGAAATTTATAAGTTTAGATGTATGTATTAGAAAAGGAAACAATCAATTTTTGGGCAAAATAAGCTCAAAGAATGTAAAATGAATGCTATAATAAAGAACAGAAATTAATGAAATGGAAGATTAATATAAAACAGAATTAACAAAAGCAAAGTTGGTTCTTTATAAAGGATAATAGAACTGTTAAACCTCCAGAAAAGTTGGTCAAGAAGAATAAAAGGGGCTTCCCTTGTGGTGCAGTGGTTAAGAATCTGACTGCCAATGCAGGGGACACAGGTTTGAGACCTGGTTTGGGAAGATCCCACATGCTGCAGAGCAACTAAGCCTGTGCGCCACAACTGCTGAACCACTCTAGAGCCTGCGAGCCACAGCTATTAAGCCCGCGTGCCACAACTACTTAAGCCATCATGCCTAGAGCTCATGCTCCACAACAAGAGAAGCCACTGCAATAAGAAGCCCGCGCACTGCAACAAAGAGTGGCCCCCGCTCGCCACAACTAGAGAAAGCCCGCACACAGCAATAAAGAAACAAAGGCAACCAAAAGTAAATAAATAAAATTAATTTATAAAAAAAAGAATAAAAGCCACAAATAATCAATATAAGGAATAAAAAGGCAGCTATAATTTCAGATGCTACAGATATTAAGAAGAGAATATCATGATTATGCCAAAACATTAAAAAAGTTTTAATTTAAATTAGAAAACTTTGTTTATCTCAGGAATGCAAGGGTAGCTTTACATTTCTAAACCCATAGATATAATTCGTCACATTACCAGAATAGAAAAACTCATGCTCATCTCAAAAGAATTCCAAAAAAATCCAACATCTACATCTATTCACGATTATAAAACAAGGGAACAAAAATCTCTGAAACTTTTATCAAACTACCATTTGAAGGGAATTTCCTTAATCTGATAAAGAGTATCTACCAGAAAATCACAGCAAAGATGGCAGTCAATTGAGGAAGTATTCACAGCAGTTCCTTTAACATCTAGGACAAAAGTGCACTATCACTACTTTTATTTAAAACTGTAGGGGAATTCCCTGGTGGGTCCAGCGGTTAAGACTCCACACTTGCACTGCAGGGGGCACTGGTTCAATCCCTGGTCAGGGAACCAAGATCCTACATGCAGTGCGGTGCCGCCAAGAAAAAACTGTACTGCCACAAGGGCTTGAGCATAGTGTGCACTGAAGCTTTACTGATAAGTCAAATGTCCATCAACAGATGAGTGGATAAACAAACTGAAGTATATCCATACAAAAGAATACAATTCAGCAATAAAAAAAAAATGCACTCCGCTGCACAAAAGACACAAACACAAAAGAGCATATTACAGGACTCCACTGATATGAAATTCTAGAATTGGCAAAACGAATCTTTCCTTACTGAAACAGTACCAGTGGTTGCCTGGGACCTGATGGAGGGAAAGAATGGATTGTAAAGTGTCACATGGGGACATTTTGGGGTGTTAATTGTGGTAGTGGTTACATGGGTATGTATATGTGTTAAAATTCATTAAACTACACACTTAAAATGGGTGCAATTTATTGCACGTAATGTATACTTCAACACAGTTTTTTTTTAAGATGTATGTATATATTTATTTATTCATTATTTATGGCTGTGTTGGGTCTTCGCCGCTGCGCATGGGCTTTCTCTAGTTGCGGTGAGCGGGGGCTACTCTTCATTGCGGTGCACGGGCTTCTCATTCTGGTGGCTTCTCTTGTTGCGGAGCATAGGCTCTAGGCACACAGGCTTCAGCAGTTGCGGCACACGGGCTCAGGAGTTGTGGCTCGCGGGCTCTAGAGCACAGGCTCAGTAGTTATGGCTCACAGGCTTAGTTGCTCCGCGGCATGTAGGATCTTCCTGGACCAGGGTTCGAACCCATGTCCCTTGCATCGGCAGGCGGACTCTCAACCACT